AGAGTGGGCTCGGGGGACTGGCAGTAAGAAAAAGAATGTTTATGTGTAAAATGAGCACATGTGATATGAAAATCAGAGAAACGATTAATATGGAACCACACATGTCGTACTTGCATAGTCGCTTTCTAGGGCAGAATTGCACTTTCCTAAAAGTCACAGATACAGTCTGTAGTAGGTATGGGAAGAGAACCCAGGAGTTCTGATTCTCAGTTACCTGCTTTAACCACTAGATAATATTCCTTCCCTAATAATTTCCCCCTTCTTTCGCATGGAATCAGTGATTTGTTAGCTCATGGGTTGAGCTCCTTTCTTTGCATTTGTTTTCATAAAACGGGTATTAAAACATCTGTTTGTAGAAAATCATATCCGTGATTACAAGGGGAGCTTTTCGGACTAAAATAATATCCGCATCCAGAGGACAGTGTAGGCAGCTTTCCGTTCTGAGGGGTACCTCCACATTTGTAGCAGCAGTGCAATGCCAGTGCCGAAAGCAACATTACGCAGCTGCCCAACGCTCTTTTTTTTCACAAGACTCTGATCCAGTTGCCATATATGACAGTAGGTTTGATGGTAATAACACAGGCCAGTGTGTATGGGGGTTGGCCTGATTGAATGTCAGACAGGAGGGAATTTTAAAGGAAATATATGTGGACTAAAGACCATCTTGGTGGCTGCTAGCTCGTTTGAAGTCCCCTGCCACTCTCCACTCCACCCAACCAATGGTAATGGGCAGGGGAGATGGTCCTTTTCACTTCAGTCTAGGGGTGCTTTTACAAGAGGTGTGTCGTTGCAATGGGGAGCACAAGCTCCTCTTTAGCACTTGGAGAGTAGCGTGGGAAAGTTATTTCTTCTCTCCCTCTTAGCCTGCTGGGGCTACTTATGTGAATTGCTAGACGGAGAGGTCTTCATATCTGCCTGTAAAACATCCAGCACTGTGTTGGTACTTTACTAGGGCCGTAACTCAACAGGCTGAAGAGAAAGACAGACAGATTGAGGATGCCAATGTCACATTTGATAATGGTAAATAATCGCCTTCTTCTAACACGGAGCAAAGAGCTAAATGAGAATAAGAATCACAGGGGCTTGGCCTTAAGGCTACTTTTTCTCCCTCTCTTTCATTCTAGCACTCCTATATAGAACCCTCCCCAGCCACCACTTTTAAAGAGACAGTATACCTATCTTCAGAGTTAGGAAGCGGTGGCCAGGAAGCAAGGAGTTCATTTACTCAAGTTCTTCTCACTTAGCGCATCTCTGCCACTCGGTGGAATGCAGGGGAGTTTTTCTTTTTCTGGAGGGTTCTATATAGCAGGCAACCTGTTCTCTGGCCTACTACATGGCCAGTATCTTATCTGCAGCCTGTATCATGGAAGATGGTGGGTAATTTCCGGTGACTAGAGCCTTTGGGTTTTACAAGCATGTAAAAGAAAGAAAGGTAGGTCAAATATTGGGCCTTCCAGCCTTGATAGTGTTAATTTAAAATAGTATATAGTAATTGTGGAAATTGATGAGTTCAGTACAGGTGAGCACCCTATAATTAACTCAAATGCTTATGTAGTAGGAGCATGTAGGCCCAGCACCTGGGAACACCAAGAATGTAATCCTGGCCGTTGAAGTCAATGGCAAAACACCTATTGATTTCAGTGGGACCAGGATTTCACACCTAGATGGCTAGCCCCTTGAGGCAGGTACTCTGTCTTCTATTTGGCCCTGATCCTGTAAACACTTACCTTGTGTGCCTCGTCCCACTGACGACAATAAGACACAATGTGTGTGTTCGCATGATCAGACCTATGTTGGTACAATAGTTCGGACTACAGACTCCTGATCTAGTTGGGGCCTCCAGGCACTATTGTAATAGGAAAAAAATATTAATGAGATAGTTAAGGCTGCACAAAAATGTCCAGCCTAGACATTTTCAACCTTTTCATTCCAACAGTCCATTTTCACATGCTAAGAACTGAAATATTTTTAATTTTTTGGGACTGCAATTTGACAGGTTTATTTTTAAACCAGTTTAGCTTTAAATTGATCCCAAAAAAATGAAAAGCCTGCAGTGTGCTGACTTTACATGGTCCTAGACTTTAAAATAATGCTTCATTTCATACAAACTTGGATTGACTTTCTCAATGGATTGGTGTCGGCAGATGGCATATATGAATGCTACTTCTGTCTCTGTGTGTGGGGGGGGGGAGAGGGAGGAAAACTCTCTTCTTCCCACCCTCCCCTCATACTGAAATTTAAAATATTGAAGGAATTTTGTTCCGTCTTTCCATGAAAGACTCTTTTTTGAGTAGACACTGCATGAGATTGTATTAGCATTCAAAAATCATAAGTCAGATCCCCAAATAATGAGATTATATTAAAAATACATTTTTATTTGCCTTTTTGAGCCATTAGGAGATGCTCAAGTCACATTTTCATGATTTTCTCTGTGACCAGGAGGGATGCAAACTTAGTTGTTTTAAATGAAAGCTGAGATTCTTGTGTATTCATATGACTCCAGGTCCTGGGGCTTTAAGAAAATCAACATATATTCTAAGACTCTTGATGAAATCATGAGATTTGGCCACACTGATGTTTTAGCTTCAAAAGTTGTGAGTAAAAACTATGAGCATGTGAAAACAGCAATTATTGTTGCACCATAATTATAGAAGGGGCATCAAAGCACTCATCCAGAACACCATGGAAGTACAAGTTTGAAACTGTGTATGAAACACAGTAACGTTCCACCTAGAAATTGATGAACCCAGTCTTCACCAGCTGAAGATGCATCCCTTGAACCCCAAAATGTTCACATACTGAATTTTTGAATATGCATTTGCTTCAGAGTTTGCCGTGAGCTTCCTATGATAGTGCATCATTTTTATTCAAAATTTAATTAAAACCCAATTAAGCACTTTGGGAAAGCTTTCCCTTAAGTGTGTGAGGTATTTCGAGAACAGTATTTACTCGAGTGCATGACTTGCACATACTATTCTGTGGTTGCTGCCAAATCATTTCCCTCTGTTCTGTCTGTAACTTCCATTACTATCTGCCTTTGCCAAAATTAACTAACTGTGTGGTGTGACCAGATGCTGAAAACATGAGCTGTTGTATCAAGGTCATGCAGGAGACAGGAATGAATGTTCCCAGAAACTGAATGGTCAAGTTTCTTTACAAATAAAACACTAAGATACTTCCACTAAACAGAAGCACAGGAATTAAATCTGACCATAAGTTGTATATGTATCTGGTCTTGATGCCAAAGTTGTTGTTGTTAAGTGGTATTCATACCCTGCTACTGACAAGAGAGAGCGAGCGCTGGGGCCAGACCTCAAGATGCAGAATTGCATGAGTTGTGTGGCCCTCAAAAGAGTGTGAGTGTGTTTGGGGGGCAGGGAGGAAGGGAGTAGAGTTGTAACAGGCCTGAGAGGAGGGATGGGCCACTGTTTAGGCTGCTAGCCTGGGAAGCAAGAGACCTGGGTTCAGTTCCTTGCTCTGCTAGCTTCTTCCTGTATGACCTTGGGTAAGGCACTTAGATTCTCTGGGCCTCAATTCCCCTTCAGATACTACAATAACAGGGCCATATAAGTACTTTAGATAGATACTTGGTTTGCTTAGTATGCCCTTAAAGGGGGGATTCAGCTCTAGTAACTAGAAAAGGACATTATTTGATGCCATCTTTGTTATGTCTTAATGGTTTCCATATCAAATTTGCTCAGTTTGCAAGTAAAAGACATTTTTATTTCAGCCGTGCAAACAGCCTGGGATCTGAATGTTAAGCTTGTATTCTGGCTTGCGTACCATCACTGGGAGTGAAGGTTCTGTGGGCCAACTTCTCTCACTAGATAAATCATGTGATGTCACAAGTATAAATGAGGGCAGAATTTGGCCCTACATTTGGAACTTAGTTCACATTTCTGTTAATGATGGCTCAACCACAATAAAATGCATTCCTCTCTTAGTTGGGAGGACTCTGCTGTGTTAGCAAGGGCAAAAGGCAGTAAAACCATATATACGTCATTCAGGTCAGCAGATGCTACTCTGACTACACCCAGGGAGGAGAGTTGTTAATTAAGAAGGTCCCACTTTTGCATAGTCACTTTTCTGGCCATATCTACACTTTAAGGCATCTAAGGCAATCAAGAACTCAAACATTCCCCTCAACACCAGGTACTCCAGTATGAAGATTGGTAGGTGGCAACCCCATCTAAGAATCAAAACCAAACTGTGTGCACAGAGAAAACAGGAAAAGTAAAAGCCTTTTGCCTTTATATTTTTTCAGGCCTTATTTGACAGATGCAGTTTTTGAGCTCCCATAAATTCTATCAAAATCCTTCTCCTTCTGTGAATTTTTTTTCTTTCTTTGCAGAAGAGAGACGCATAAAATAACTCACATTTCCTAAGAGATATTTGCAATTAGTATGATCTATGCTTCAGTGTAAATGTTACTGTGACCACTGAACATCACATAATGAATATGAAAAATCCATTTAAACCACACACTCAAGAGTATCAGATACAGCTCTGCAATTTGGTCAGTACATCATTATTTCTTCATTAGAAAGAGAGCAGCTGGGTAGCATACTAGGCAGCAGTGCTGTCCCCTGGCTTGCAGGACCTTGGATCTAATCCCATTTTTTAGTCATAACGAAATGAATTTGGTGGTGTCAGCTGAGTTCATGTTGCAAAACTGCAAGTGCTGGCAGCTTCTTTACTCAGGAGAGGCTTGGAGATTAGCTCATCTAGAAATTGAAACCTTTCACCTCTAGACATTATGGCTCCTCCAGGTCATTCATGAAGCGACTTAGTGAGGCAATGTGGAGAAGCTCAAGCAGTGGCAGCCTGCCTAACATATTGCCTATGGATAAAGAGAATAATTTCCACACTGCTGTTTTAACCTTCAGGATAGCAAATATTCTTAGTGCTTCATCTCGAATAAAGTCCTCTGCTCAGCAAAATAAAATTTTTCTGTTCTTTGACTTGTGTGTCAATGAAACCATTTTGTATATCTTTTTAAGGTGATAAAAGATGTTTGCAGCAACTGCACTGGAGCGATAGATTCAGATGGACCATCATCTAGTTCTCCGATACACAAGACAGAACTGGAAAAGGTAAAGTTAAAGAATTACTAATGCAAAGATAGATGATGATGTTATATTATGGAGGTGTCAATAGTGACTCTAAAGTTCAGGTTGCATTTACCCTTAAAGCAGGACTCTAATTAATGATTGAATTCAGTCTCTACATTTGGCACAGTAACTGTGTAGCTGTTTCAGTAAAATACTTGGTAACTTTTGCAGAGGAACCATTTTAAGATGTCGCATTTTTAGAAATGTTGCCCCTTCTTCCTCACATTTCTTTGGGTTCCTCAGATAAGTTGCACAGTTCCCAAAGACTCCAAATTGCTCTCACATTCTGATAACATCTCTGGCACAGGCCATTTTTTAAATGAAATACACACACAATTATTCCTCATATTCAGGCAACCCAAAATTGGCCAACTTCATATCCATCATAAGCCAAAACATTTACACCGTAATTGAACAGCCCCTTAGCCCAAGCCCCGCAAACCCAATCAGCTGGCATGGGCCAGCCGTGGGTTTTTAATTGTGGTGTAGACATACCCTGAGGCAGCAGACTAACAATGAACAGGATGTCTGTGAAGTGAGGCATGAACGCACCAAGTGCTCACCATGGCAGCGCTGCTTTAGGCCCCTAGCCTGCGTGACATCTGCGCAGTCAGACCCCATTGCAAGATGGCAGTCCTATTTGTTATGGGCCAACTCCTGGTCCCGTTAAAGATTAATGTTTAAAAGTCCCATTGACTAGGATTTGACCTCAAGAGTCTGGAGGTCAAAGTCCATACTTAGGTAGCCTAGATTTACATTTTTGTATTGCCATTGGCATCAATGGAATTTATCTCCATTTACACCAGTATAACTAAGATCAGGATTTGGCTTATGGTAATTAAGGTATATTTTTATATAATTTCCATTGCCTGTTATTATATATATTATATTTCTAGATTCTAAAATGTTGCTGTCTATTAATATGCTAAACAGCAAGATCAAGTAAGAAGTGCTCATAGATGAAAGAAATCTTCAAAATGATATTTTTAATGAATGCTTTAGATATACATTTACAATTGACAGCCTTACACAAACAACGCATTTGTATAGGTAGCATTTCAGACCTTTCAATGTATGCAAGAAAAAAGTCTGTTCAATTAAGTTTTTAGCACTCTGTACCGGCTGGGAAGGAAACACACAAGGGTGCGGTATAAAGTTTTCCTTGCCACAAATTTGGGATGCCGATGTTACTCATAAGTGGTGAAGCCATGAATGAGTTATGTAAAACGTGTTAAACAGATGCCAATAAAAAGTTTTATGGCATGCCACAACATATGAGTTTTGTTTATGCCACACCTTTTAGGTAATAGCTATTTTATAAACTTTAGATTTTTAATTTTTTTATTAGTAATATACACATAATTGCTAGTCTCTAATTTCACAGACTTTTTTATAGTCTCAGACTCTAAGGGAACCATTGTGATAATCTAAGATGACCTCTTGCACATTGCAGGCAACAGAACCGCACCCCCATACTGCTGTAATAGAGCCATAACCTCTGGCTGAGTTACTGAAATCATAATTTCAAGACTTCCAGTTGCAGAGAATCCACCATTTACTCTAGTTCATACCAGCAAGGGACCTTTACTTACACACATCGAAAGTACTGAAATTCTACCTATAGAAATGTGTTGTGTTTGGTAGGTTGTCAGTTGTAAATGTATACCTAAAGCATTCATTAAAGATATAGTTTTGAAGATTTATTGTATGTAAAATGAGCACTTGTTGGTTAGCACATTAATAGAGAACAACATTTTAGAATCTAGAAATGTAATAAAATATATTATGGGTAACATGGTTCATTGTTAGATTTGGGTTACATGATTCGTCTTACTCTTCAAAAGATAAAAGAATGGGATATATTTGGCAATACAGTTCTAGTGTGTGCTTAGTTTTGTTTTGTTTTAATGCTTGTGTGGTGACATAAGAAATCTATGTAATGTAAATGAACTCTTGACTATCTCATATTTGTCCTCAGGATGGATGCTTGGCATATATTTAATTTAATAATAAGCATAACTTTAATTTGACTGATGACACATCATTTGGCCAGTGTGACCACATGAGAAATGACCTAATTTATTTTGTCCATGCAGAAATTGTCCTACGAGAGGCCAAGCTCAGATGGGGAGGGTGCTATAGAAAATGGAATCGCTGCTGTGTGTAATGGAAAAGAACAAGGTGAATCCCAGATGCAGAGTGTGTTTTACATATTCAGTATAAAGAATATAATTTTTTTTCTTTTATGAAGTAGGGGAATAGGCAATAATGCTTTGTAAATAATGTAATTAGTCTTATATCTACCCTGAAAGTTGAACTGTGCCAAGCTTGAATTACGTAAACCTTTACATTGGTGGATATTAGAATATCTCCATTCTAGTTAACAGTTATCCACATGTAACATTGATGTAAGTGACAGCAGGATCAAGGTCCATATGTAAGTTTTGAAATGACTTTTTCCTGTGTTTATAAAGTATGCTGTCTTCAATGGGGGAGTTGAGCCAATCACTAAGTGCATGTAAGGTTTTCCCCTATAATTTTAAACAGGAAGGGTATCATAGAATTTTATAAGGGAAGACAAGAATCATGTATGCTAAATGACTTTAAAATGATGTACTCCACTTTGGAGTCAGAAAGTTTGTTCCCAGTCCTTAGATTCCAAGCTGAGGGACATTCCAAATTCAATTTCCTGAGTAAGGTCTGCAAAATCAATCCCCAGATTATCTTTTTGTTTCCCCTTGAAGAAAAGACTCCTGTAAATAGGTGATACCAACCTAGTTAGCTTGACATATACCAATACTCAGTCTTGTTCAGAAGAGCACATCTCCTTTAATCAGTACTTTCCTGTAGCTGTGAAAAAGCTGATGTAAGCTCTATTGGAAAACAGTTGCATCAGCACTGGCTTTTGGGCAAGCACTGTGTCTCCCCTTCCTGACACAAATGGGTGTTTCTTTCCTTTGGGTGTTTTAGTTTGTAATCTTTGCCCTCCTTTTCCAATGGAGATTTTGAACGAATCTCCCAAATGTATAGATCTCCACACCCCAGTCAACAGAATGGAGCACAGTAGCTCACTATGACGTCTATATCCAAAATGTATGGCTACATTTACATACTACAGAAACTTTCATAAAACTACAGACGGCATAAAAAATTGTGTTGCTGTAGACACTCGAGTTGGTTTCATGTGTCTGTGGTACGGAAGTTCAGAATATGTGCATAGTCCACGATTTTCACAAGTGACTAGTGATTTGAGTGCCCAACTTGAGGCACCTTATAGGGGCTTGATTTTCAAAAGAGTGCTGAATGCACACCCTCTGAAAATCAGGCCCATTTGAAGTATCCGAAGCTGGGCAATCAAAAGCACCAGTCACTTGAAACTCTTGGCCTTCAACTCTGTCACAGTAGAGTTAGACTTTTGTAGTAATGAAGAGACTGATACAAAATAATGACATTTAATGCATTAACACATGGCTGTCATCACTAAATCATTTTAAGGTGTTCTGAATGAGTTGCAGGGCTCTTTTCTAAATCCGCTGTAACCGTGAGAGCGAAAGCTCAGTTAGCCATGTGAAGGGATGCTGGCTTCACTGTGCACTGATCTCCCTTCTGCTCCCACAGAGCTGCTGCCCCCCTCTCTCCACCAGCATCTTGTTCTGCTGTGGTGAAGGAGGTGAGAAGAAATGGCTTACTTGCCAGTTTGTCTTGAGATCAGGGGATGTATCCCTTTCACATACTGCAGGAGAAAGAGGTTGGGAGAAAGGTCATTTCCTCTGCCTTTCTTCTCCATGACGGAATAAAATGCCATGGGGAGTGAAGGTGGAGGAAGCAAGAACATTAGAATTCACGTGGGCTCCTTTCACTGCATTTTCCCGGAGCTGGGAATTCTTCCCTTGCACTTTCCACTTTAATGAGCTTGATTTGACTTTCTTTGAATTCTGGGGGGGTGTGGGCATTATTCCTCAAACCCAGACATAAGCATTCTTCTTCCCTCCCTCCCCTACTCCACAGCTGCAGATGTTCTTAAGCTGCTGCTGTGTGAGATAGCAGCCTGTCTTCAGTCAAGTGCTGCCTCCTGCTGTCTCCCTATGCTCATGATGATATGAGCAGATGGGATGCTCTCCTTCCCTAGAACTTTGGGAATTCGTTGCATGTAGGGACAGCACAATATTAGGTTACATCAACCCTGCAGATCCCTGGGCAGGATTTAGCTTTTTGTTCCCACACACAAATCATCATTCTACTGAAGGTTTTCAGATAATCCACTTTCACCTATGAAAACAGGACTCCCCCACTGCATATATGTTGGTAGCAGTGTCTCAATGAAAGAGACAGTCTTGATGACAGATGGAATTTCTAATGATTTCCCGTGTTAACAAATAACAAAGGCTAAAAAAAAGACAACAAATTGTGGTTTGAGAATTTGTGAATTATTTCTCTTCTGTGTACATTCTTTCCCGTGATTTGCCAAGTCACATAATTTGTACCAGTTATTTTTTTAAGTCAACATTTCACATTTCAATTCTTATCTTTCAAATGAACCTTGTATTTGTTTTTTTGGGGGTCTCAGTTCAGACCCACAGAGTTGTTTTTTGTGCTTGCGTGCTTGTGTATGTGGAAAGGGGGAAAGATGGTTCTAACAAACTGAAACTCAGCTCAGTTCTGTCAAAACCACTAAGTTAAATTTCATTTCTTGTCTGTCAACTAAGGTTGAGCTCAAAATGGGCCCATGTTTGCAATAATAGTTAATCGGGGCTGAGTTTTATATTGTTGATAAAACTCAAACCAGATTATTGTGGTTCTGGTTTCACAAAGAAAGTTTTGTGCAGCTCTGGTTTTTTTTTATTGGTTGTGATTGTCTACTATATTTTTAAAAAATATATACTGTAGGCTCTTCAGTCATTTAGCCACTTTTGAAAGTTGTGTCCCCAGCACTGATCCTGTTCACTTCAATGGAAGCAAGTTAAGTTCAGCACCAAATTGTATGTGCAGACCAATCATAATCATGCATTATTTTAAGTTCCCATATGTAATGATTAGATCTAGTAAACTATTTTTTCTGCACTGTCCTTTCCATAAAAATGAACAGCAGCTCCTAGTCATTGGGAGTGTTAAGTGATCTTGATTATTCCATTATAAAGGAAAGTTATCTTATAATACATGCCTTTCCCAAAGACCCATTCTGATCTGTATAGTTACCTTGACCTAGTTCCAATAGCAGGGATATTTTTGCCAGGCATATACTTACTAAAAGAATGGGTTGATTCATTGCCAGGGCATTATGTTGGAAATGCTTTTAAGGAACAATGACCGGAGATCATCCAACGTCCTTTATTGTTCCAGTGCAGTCAGGTTGAATGTACAGCATGGAATTACCCTAACAACAGTTCTGAATTAGAAGATGGTTAAAGTGGAGAGGAGCAATTAGACTGATGAATTTTAATGATAAACTTGCTTTAGTCTTACCTTTCTGTGTGCCATGTTTTTGATATTGTGCTGGGCATGTGATAGGGACATCAGCATTAATGGCGCATGCAATTGTGCGTCTCTTGTCAGAAGGCAGCTGTTCTGTCCAAATGCTCATGTTAAGAATTAAATCAGTTTTGTGCTTGTATATTTGCAGTGCAGTTGTTTTCCTTTCTATTTTGATCCATGCGCTTTAATATAATTGGTTTCATTCAAACATACTAAGATGTCCATGTTTGTTTTCTTGATAGTTAAGAGGAAGAAGAGTTCCAAGTCAGAGACCAAGGGCACAGTGACTAAAGTAACAGGGAAAAAAATAACAAAGATCATCAGTTTAGGAAAGAAAAAGCCATCAACAGATGAACAGACCTCATCAGCTGAGGAAGATGTTCCAACATGTGGTAAGTGATTTGACTCTCTTAAATTCTCAAGCTTACACTGCAACTAAAGCACTATAGACTCCTAGCCTAGCCGTTCATATACAATTGCTCCTACTGCAGTGGTTTTCAAACTAGTTGGTATTATGTAAAACTTCACAAGATAACTAATTTCTTGTAGGCCATTTCCCCCCTCAATCCTGATTCCCCTTCCCTGTAGGAACCATAGTACTTGATAACATCCGGATAGTATTTAAATATTTAAGGATACCAGGTGAAAATGTGATAGGTGGAGTTGCTTGCTTAACTCTTTTCCATCCCAAAATTTTGTATCCATGCTATTTATTCTCTCTCTCTCTCTCTCTCTCTCTCTTCCTCCCCTCCC